ACCCATAAAAAATGATGTGGTAGACCTAACAACTGTAAATACACATTATTCGGAAGGCACTTAAACTACATGTAAAACATTCATATATGACCATATATGCTATTTAAAACACAAGCAGGAGTAAAACACGAGAGCACAGCTCAAGTGTTTTACAGTGCGTCTACTGTAAGTGGGGCCACTTAGACAACACTAGCCAATCATATCGCAGAACGAAAACAAAGAAATCCAATCAGACAACAGCTCCGCCAATCAGAACAAAGCATCGAGTTTGTCAGTTTCAGGATTATACTGCCGAAATTTTGTCTTACAAATTACAACGCCGATAATCTTTACATAACTGTCTGTGCCAGTGTGGTTAGTGCCAATATTCAGTAATATAAACATGATTTCGTTGGAAGGATGCAACTACCTGTCGTGAATAATAAAATAAGGATAATTTCGACGTTTCGCCGAGCAAAGGCCCTTCGGCTGAAGGCTACATAGTAACTCCAGACGAAGGGCCTTCGCTCGAAACGTCGAAATTCTCCTTGTATTTTTCAGGTAGTTACATCCCTACCAGCGAAAGCTTGTTTACAATATATGTTAGCTAATATATGCATGCTCGAATTTGCTGGTGTACATTTGCAGGTCATAAAGCCATATTAAACTCATAAGAAGCGCAAACAGCCGTGCCCGTGAGATACATTTTGTTTCCTGAGTTTGTATTATTTTGCTCAGAAAATGTTTACAATACATTCTCCATATAACAAAATAAAATAGCCTAATAGGACATACAGACGCCACAAAAATATATAGTAAATAAGTCAAAACAGAAACTTATGAAACTAGAGGGCAATCAGAGACTGCATACCTCCGCCCCCATTGAATTTCGGTCATGTGAAATGCAACTAAAACAATAGATAATGAAGGCTGAAGCTTACTGTGATGAGGTTTATCATCTTATTATTGTCTTAGTACTGCGTGTATACATTATACACGTCCTAATTACGCATTCAGTGAGTTTTTTTAAGCAAGCAAAACAAAATTTTGTTCATTTCTCGTTCAATTTTTAACCAAATTTTAATCAGTTCTTCCTTAGCCGATGGGAAATGCATTCAAAAAATTCCGTACGAATATCTTTGGTATTTCTTGAGTTATCGTGCTGACAGAGAAACACACACACATACAAACCCAGATGATTACATAACCTCCTGGCGGAGGTAATTATGTAGCTCGGTTGTGTATTTATATTGTAACCGCTACAAAAACACAGTCACAGGCAAAATTTATTTTTAAAAAGTGCGCATATAAATAGAATATGACTAATAATTTATCATGTGTTATCCAAAATCAATGAGAACAAACAAGCAAAAATCGACAATAAGCAACTTTTACTAGTGTCAGAAATACACAAGTCATTCAATAGTCTGAATTATAATCGATACACATTCTACATTTACAGATGCCGGAAAGTTTATAATTATATATTTTGACTGTAAAATTAAGAATTGTCAAATTTTCCGATTTATATTGTAAAAATCAGAATGAATTGTTCGATTTCGTCAGTCGTCTGAAAATCTTCAAATCATGCACTATAGTATGTGAGTCTGTGTTATAAAAGATGACCATAAAAAAACAATAGTAAATTTATAGTAAATAGCACATCCATAACAAAATGGCGAAAATGCCCAACAAAATATAAATACTTTACTGTTCAAGTTTATGCATGTATGTCACTTTTACGACCTTTATACCGGACAATACTAAAATTTGCAAATTTTTTCACGATATTTACGTTTCAAATATTCAAAAACGTTACGTTTTCTTGTTAATTATGTCACGTTTTGGGCGTGTTAAATAAACACTTTTCTTTCATATAAAATGCGCGCCAATTTTTGACATACTTAATTGAAAAGTGTACATTGACACGCCAAAAAACGTAACGTAACTTACAAAAAAGAAAACGTAGCATTTTGAAACGTAAACATCGTGAAAAAATTTGCAGGTTCAACGCTTGATTGCAAATGGTAGTATTTATATAAAGTCTATAAATGGATTACATGCAAGCCCATATAATTAGCAACTGTCAAACGAGAACTCAACTCAACATTATATACGAGAATATAGTATATAGTCTACAGAAAATCGAGTCTTCTGTACATATTGCTTGAACTGGGTTTCATGAACATATCGCTCATACTTTCCTGAAACGTTACCATATTCATTTTGAACTGTTCAATAATCATTGGTAATCTCCAGTCGTCAGATTCATCCACTGGAACTTTGTTGTTCAACGCTTTTTTTAGAGTCATCAGATCCCGATCGAGTAATATTCGGTCAGTTCCGGCATATTTCATAGCGTTCTGTTTTTTCAGTCGAGGCCTCATTATTGCAAAAAAGCTATTGCATGCCTTTTCGCGTGCAGCTTTGAATGCCAAAAATTCGTTTCTGGATTTCTCAGCCTTCTTTTCTAGGCTCTTTATTAGGCGTTGAAGCTCTGTCATGGCAGTTTTCATTTCTGGATGTTTACTTCGAAGATTACAATTCTCAATACCATAACATATTTGGTTGTTACACTTTCCTTTATTATGCCCAGGTAAGTGGCAGTTGGAACATACCTTTGCACGTTTTGTCGCTATTTGATCATACTTATCCGCTTGCTGTTCCAGTCGCGTATATTGTTCTTTAGCGCTCATGATTTGCGATTGAAGAAACTGAACATCTCCTGTAATACTTTCTTCTTTATTGGCAAGGAAACCTGTCGGCATTTGACTGGATTTGTCGTCACCCAGAGTCTGAAATGAGCCTGACGAAGCAGGTGTCGCCGTCGTCTGATTGGTTTCCCAAACGTTCAATATTTCTACGTTCGAGTCCACGTTTACGTACTTTTCCGGTAACTGGTCTGCATCTAACAGTATGCTGGTTGTTACAGATGTGTCCTGTGCTTGAACGGAACATTTTGCAGGGAGCCACAGAGTCTGAAATGAGCCTGACGAAGCAGGAGTTTCGACGAGGTTCGCCGTCGTCTGCTTGGTTTCCCGAACGTTCACTACTTCTACGTTTACGTATTTTTCTGGTAACTGGTCTGCGTCTAACATTATGCTGGTTGTGGCAGATGTGTCCTGTGCTTGAACGGCACTTTTTGCAGGGAGCTTTTGAATCTCCGTCAAAAGAATCTTTTTCTGGGCGTACGAAAGTTTTCTGGGCGAAGGAAAGAATACGTCCAAATCGGAGCTTTCAACGTACTTCAAAGACAGCTTTGTAGTGAAACCCCTTTCTTCAAAATCGTTAGCCAAGTGTGTAAAATCTAACCCACATGAAATAGACGAAAGCCATCGAGAAACTTCACTGCCTTCCATCACGATTTGTAAATACAATCTCAAATACTATATACGTGAATCTGGAAGAAAAGGCGCGCTCTTTCGATTTGACGTACTGGGTTACTTTCGATTTGACATATCAACATCACATGATCATTGTGGCTCTTAGCCAATCAGACATTTACATTCCCATGACTCATGTTTATTTCATTCAATATACCGTATTAGTAGCAGGATAATTTAGTGGATAATTCGCAGAAGCTCAACAATGGCTAAGTTTTATGTTGAAAATGCTGTTGTAAAAGGACACCATGCCTATTTATATGAAACACATATAGGGGATATTTATGACTGTTTTCCAGAGGTAAACAACGCACATGATCATCATGCGATACTCGTAAAGAACGGACAAGAAGAAGTTGGACATCTTCCCATTGGTTTTGCTGATCATATTTACATTCTTTTCACGGAACTAAGAGAAAACGTAACCATACTTTGGTAGGTTTGTGATGTTCACTTTTGTACTGAGTTCCTTTGGGGGGGGGGGGGGGG